GCTTAGATCACATAAAAGACATGGCACTCTTTGGCAATCCATGGCCCTTGCGCTACAAAGCTCCACTAATCGGCGATTGCATACTTCTGTACTTTTCCCTAAGCTTCGACCGTGTCATCAACTGTTACCTTATTATAAATTATCTGCCCTCCGATTTGACTTTCTTGCTTTCATCATGGCTACGAAATTTCTTCCCGTTCGCAAGCAGTTCCTAACTGTTAATAATTCTTCCTGGCTTGAACACATCAGTGCTGTTTCTACAAAAGCCTCCTAAACATTAGGCTGTTTGCTCCAAACACTCATCGTTGCCCCTCAAACGTTTGCAAACTGCTCTACCTAACTTTCATCAGCCGACAAGTTGAATATGCCTCATCGGTTTGGTCCCATCCACTCGTTATTAAATTAATATGCTTGAAGCAATTCAGAACAGAACCACCCATTCTACTGCAATCATTCCAGTGTGACTCAACTTAAATTCTATTATTCCCTACAAACCGTTATATGTTTGTCGTCAAGTGTTCTTATGCCTATTTCATAAGTATGTCTACAATGGCAAAGCATCATCCATACAACTTAACGCCCCTCTTCACATCATGTAGGTTACATACCTAATCATCTCAGCTTCACCCGCGTCTTTGGTAACACAAACGTGTTTAACAAATCAGAACTACCGCTAGCCATCTGCCTGTAGAATAATATTGCCCCTGATAGGAACCCTAACATGTTTGTCAACTAGTCATTATTGCTTGTATTACATAACTTTTTATGCATAAAGTTTGTATATTTTGGTGCTGTTTGGCCACTAAATAATCCATGGTTTACTTTATGTTAACAGCCCCCCCCCCCCCCCCCCCCCGTCAGTTCTTACTTTGGGACCTCCGATTGTTCAATCCCCGTACAAAAAATGTACATGGTTGTCACAAGACCTCTACTTAAAAAGGAAAACTTTCAAGCTCTTCTATATTGCGAAGTGTTGTGCATTACTATGTTGTAATCTGCTCTATGTGAACTGTTGAGTTACGATGACTCATTGCATTTTTTACGAAGTATGTTGTCGTTATTATTCATGTGCACTGTAGCGTTCTTCCTTGAGTTTACTTCCGATTTCACTGTAACCCCCCCCCCCCCCCCCTTGTTTAATGCCTTCAGGCCTGTAAGGTATTTTTCAATAAATAAAAGCCTGTGACACATCTTTTATAAAATTTCTGATAAATTTCTGGCATTGAAAAGTACTGCAAATTGTTCTCGGGGTCAGGGGAATGGAACAGCTGCGCCTTTGCACCATTGTGTATCAAACTGATTTACCTGCACCGACCTACTCCTGTTGTGCCTAACTCATAGCCATACTGCTCCGCAGCACCCCAATTAAGCTGCAAGGTGCCCCCGTGCATGAAAACGTGGCTAAAACATCATGCTTTCAGTTTCATTGAAACAGTTATATTTACGGTTTTATCGAGGCTGCAATCACTCGAGCAGCAGCAGTGAACTTCGATTGTGAGGTCGAGATCGATGGTGCGCGCTATTTTGGCAGACATCAGCACGAATGGCCAGTAAACCCTTGTACGTGCTGCACTCTCAATTCGAAAAAACTAATTAGAATAGCATCTCTCCAGCGATATGTAGAGTTAAACAATACAGCGAAACTGATTTTTTTTTATTAACCTGATGGCAGCGTTCAGAAAAGGAAAGGATGACTGTAACGGTGCTCGAGAGAAGTGGGGGTGGTGTCGGGCTTCCAGAGCAGCCTTGTTAAAGACAGGTGCACAGGACTGCTCATCAAGCGCTCGCGCGTATTGTTCAGTTCACTACTGTGCTACATTATACTGCACCCATGGACTCTGGTTCACAGTTGCGTCCAGGCTTTTAAAAAAATGTGCGGGCCGGTTGTACATAGCTAAAGAAGTTACAGTTGCACTGTGACGTATCAGCAATGAATTGTAATGTTAGTATATGAAGTAAGGCAGAAATCCAACTTTTTCAGGTTCGCTTTCACGTAACTCTACGAGATGCTGGTGTAAGATAATATGGCTGCACTAGGGAGAGCAACATGTTTTATGCAGTCTCCTTGCGATGAGAGCAGAGCACATCAAAGTGTATGAGGGCAGGCCGCTAATGACTACCGAGATGGCGCATGCGCCAGTGATCCCCCCCTGCTAATTGGTGCAAATTATGCCTGCTCCCAAACCCATGTGCCCTGTTCCACTTGTGGGGTTATCTGGTTTTAATGGAGCAGCCAGCAATCGGGTGCTGCCATTGCCATGCTGGAAGTTCCATGCACAGCCATGCAAAGGATTAGTTTCTTTTTATATCATGTAACCAAGGATAGATATGACAGTTAAGGTTTGGTGGCTTAGTTCTCCATCAGGAGACCACTGCTACTTCGAAAAAAAAAAAAAAAAGAACTTTTTTCCAACTTTTGCTTCGACCAGAAGCACTAGATCAAAATGTTGTATGGTTGAAATGTAGACCAAGCAGTCTTTTGAATGAAAATAATAAAGTACTTTAAAAACTGCATGGTGGCCATGATGTCATCCACTGCCCTGAATGCATTCAAATTTTGCCTGCTTGCTGTAGGACACGAGTAGCATGCAATGGACTTGTAGCAGCTCCTGTAAGGAACTGGGGGGGGGGGGGGGGGGTTCTTTCATTGGCCAGCCAGCTTTGCTAATGATATGCATGATCAGGCATTGGCTGAAATTAAACTTACAAACAACTGAAGCACAAGATGTAGTGTAAAAATCTGGGTACCTATTCATAAGCACATCATAAATGGCGAATTCGGTCGGTCGATTTTGAGCGCTCGGACTACCTTCGGTTGGTTTTTTTCAAAGCGTCAGCCTCCGACTTAGAGCGCTCCCGACAGCTCGACTTCGAAGTGAGAGCGTGTCGCGATTTGATCGGGAGGATGGATCTGCCGGCAGGTGAACCATGCAGGTTAGGAGTGTGAGCGTACATTTCGGAAGGGGGCATCGCCGGGCTCATAATACTTCGTGGACACGCGTTGTTGGTGGCGTTTATGAGAGTGTGTTGCCCAATCTTTTTTTGTGTGCTCTAATGCTTTCAGTGGTGAGTGCAAGTTCTTTAACAAAAAATATAAAACTAAGAACTTATCAGGAATAGGTATAAATGTGCACGTTCTTATGACGGCACATCCGACATGGTTCTTGGCATTTTCTCTCCCTCTCCACTAAAGTAGTTATTCGGTCTTACATCGTGGAAGTAGCTATGGTGAATAACACCTTCAGAATTTAAATGAGCATGCCTCTCAGATTAGACTTCTTTGGTTGCAATAAATTGTCCCAATTGTTGCGATGACTGGTACTTGGCTTAACATATTTAACGGTATTAGCCTATGTGAAATGGAGATGAGATATATTGATTTTCATTGAATGTAGCTTGTTGCAGAAGCTTCCTAAAAACTCCAAACACTTCAGTATTGATTACAAGGTGTCAAGAGAGGACAGTCACTAACAATTCTGATTGCACTAATTAAAACTGAAAGCAGATTTACTAATAGATTGCCAATGAATGGTACCCACAAAGTAGAACAAATAAAATCTATAACATTATGGCAGCATATCATTTAGAGGAAAAATTCATTTGTAGTTATCTGAACTGTTGCATTCATATTCTTTATTTTGTCCTCATGCCTTAACAGTATGCTACATGTCGACCGAATCGTTTAAAATCAATTTGCAGATATTGTGCTTATAACAAAGTTTGCACAAATGGAGTTCAAGTATGGTGATGCTGAAAGAGGACAAAGTATGTTCAACAGCATCCTGGACAATTACCCAAAGCGCACAGACTTGTGGATTGTGTATGTGGACATTCTGACAAAGCTTGGTGATGTGGACAATGCACGGTGAGCCTTATTGCCATTGAATGCTACTATGTGCTTTGTGGGTGTATAACCAATTCCTAACCTCTGCTTGTTTTGCCTACAGAAAAACTTTTGAAAAGGCAACATCACTCAACTTGAATCCAAAGAAGATGAAGTCTTTGTTCAAAAAATGGCTAGACTTTGAAAAGGAGCATGGTGATGCATCACTTTGTGAAGTCGTGAAGCAGCGTGCTGTGCAGTATGTTCAACAATGGACAGCAAGAAGTACACACATATAAAATACAGATGCTCACATTTTTTATTAACAAAGGGAAATAAATTCACACAGTTTGCTGCCTTTATTAAATAGTCCTCAGACTTATTTCCAGTGTAGACGTTGTTATAAATAAAACTTGTGCACACCAATGCAGTATTCAGGTCTTTTTGTGCAATCTTTAAAGCCAAATACTTGTACAACATCAAGTAATCTAAAAAACTGCATTCAGTCTGCTTATTCATAGGACAACAGTAGTTTCCCATTACAGGCACAGTGGGTGCATGGGAAGAGCTTGTAGAAAAGTGAAAAAACAAAAAAGGCATAATCACAAGTGGAACACATTTGTTATTGTCCATACATAATGCATCTCTTAAATATATAATATACAAACAAAAACTTCACTCACTGAAGTGTAATTTTAGTAGCGATTAGGTAAACAAGCCTTCCCTCAAGAACGCGAGCAGTCCCTGCCATGTTTCGAGAGCACCACAGAGATGGGAAAGCAAGAAACATTACTCAGCATATTCGTGCGATTAATTGTGGCAGATGTGGCTAAAAATATTAGTGGGTTACAGTGTAATTGGTGACACTAGCAAGAGTTCTCACGTGTACAGGAATGTATTTGGTGCGATTACTACAAGACCAGATGCAGAAGTGGGCCCACCACGTTTCCACACAGAGATGAATCTGTTTCTAAACCACTAACGAAGTGCTAGGAGAAAGTAGAGCACGTCCTTCGCTTGAACAGGCAAGAAAGCAGTGACAGCCACAGCAGTAGTGACTCATGCTGCAAATAGAAACCCTAGCTTGGTTATGAAAGGGCACTTGACAAGAAAGCACACATAATCGAGCAGACAGGGAGGGTAATGGGATGCATGCCGGACTGCATACACAACATGGTGGAGGGAGGTGATTTTCTTTATTGGGGAGGTGACCACCTGTGTGTGACTGTTCACAACCTAGCACCGAATGGGGCTACGAGGACAGGCCGTGCAGGAGGGCATGCCACTCAGACTGATTCGGCCAGACTCTGAAACTCACTGAGCGCTTTGATGGGCGCGATGTTCTTTTTCTGTGAGCCCTTGCGTACTTTAGCTCTGACTTCTTCAGGCTTCTCCCGGCGAACCAGAGGCTTCTTTTCAGGTGCCTTCATCTTCCACACAACAATTGGTGACTGTAAAGAAATGATAGTCCCGTTGACATACAAGTTTGCACATAATGCACAACCCGGCATGCCCTACTAGCACCTACTTACACTCACAACGCCACTTCTTGGATACTGTAATAAGAGGGCAGGGGGAAGTGTTAGTACAGAGCAATGTGCCACCAAGTGTCAGGCTACTTGCCTTAGTAGATGCTACATATGAAGCTTTCACTGTTAGCACCACTGCATTCATTAAGTTTTTAGCAGCTTGAATCAGAGATGTGGCACTATCAAGCTGAAAAAAAGAAAAACTGTGACTGAAGTGCAAGCTAAGCTTTAGCTCGACAACTCACCCCAGAGACAATGAGGTTTCCAGATATGTTCTGCACATCAGCTTTCACTTTACTGGTGATGTTGAGCTGGTGACAATAAAGTGCTATGCGCTGAAGATAAGCAATTAGATCCTTCTTGGTGCTCGACTCTGGGCACTGTGGAAAAAAAAATATGCATTAGTGCACTCACGAGCATACACCATTGTTTTATTACCTGGTCAGCAATGGTTCGTGCCAATTTGTCCAGTTTCGTGCCATACTCTGATATCTTTTTTGCAGCGTTGATGACGTCCATAGTTGTTTTCAGGGGCCCTTTGCCCCTTGTGAAATCAGTCATTTCCATCATAATCATGCACATCTGCTTAGCCAGCACAATGATATCATTGCCGGTGTCATCCCATTTGGCCACTTCGCGGTCAAACTTGTTCTTCTCTGTGCGGAATGTCTCCACCTGAGCAGCAATCTTCTGCTTCTCTTCTTCAGACACGAGGCGGTAAGCATCCTGCAAATAGGAAAGTAGTCAAGCACCTTTGCCAATGCATGACTAGTGAGCAGCCCTTACTCGTGTGTTGTTGATGCCACTGATGTCTGGATACTCATCATAGTCTGCAGTGTGGGCACTGGCTGCAAAAAGAATAGCATGCTTATGCAACTAAGACAGCATTCAGCTCATCCCCAAGCAGACAAAGGACAGAAGCTTACATTTGCTGCGTGTTTCGTAGGTGTTATCCTCGTACTCAATCTCAGTTTCGGAGTCCAACTCCTCGGCACTCTACGAAAAATCACCCAGCAAAACAGCTAGTATAAAGCATTAACCACCATCTAGAAACAAAGAAAGCACAGCTCATACAAGCACACCACAGTAAGCGACCTGTATCCCATAATGCACACATAGTCTAGACTTGTCCTCACAGGCTCTGCTCCTCTGAGAACCAAGGGAGACCCAGCTTCCTGAGAGATCTGAGCCATCCATTTCATCCTCCGAGTCAACATCAAGCTAAAAGAATTTTCAAAACCATAAATGGCATATAAAAGCCTTTAAAAGTCACTTACCCTATTCATGAGCACTGCACGTCGAATCTCACGAACGCCATCGTAAACTAGACGTGAAGCATCAATAAATTCATTTTCATCTATCTCTTTCTGAGGACTGGCACTCAGTGCTTCTACTGCCATCTCAACCTTCTGGGCAAAGTTGGGCATAACTGAAAGGAATGGAACAAAGCTTCAAAGAATGAACCCCAATACAAGCAATAATCCTACCTTGATCTCTCAGCACTGCCACAGCCTCAAGTACTCTTTCTGTGTAGATACCTGGCTCATAGTTGTCCATTTCAGAAGTTACCACATTGCACACACGGGCTGACCGCCCTCGAATGGCACCAGCGGTACGGTCCAAAGCATCTGCATCGTTCTCTTGCAGAGCCAGCACGCACTTGTTGACATCTTCAAGAATGTGATTTTCTATGGAAAAAAGAAGAATCCTGTTGAACAGAATGAACTAAAGTGTGACAGCTAAGCATCCCTAGTTGCCAAAAAAGTGCAACAAAAACCACGGCCTCCATAGGCTACTGCAGCCACACACCTTTTAAGCCAATCTTCCATAACACTACTATCATGAAAGCAGACATTTAATCGTACCAAGTGACTGTGGTAGTACGTAATAGTATGTGTATGAGCTTCCTCTTGTACTATTCCCAAGAGCCTCTGTAAGACTAGTAATATACAATGAAACTCTAATGACACTATAGTGAAGGCAGTAAGCACACTATATGAGAAGAGAGATAAGCATACCCTTCGCTACATGTCCACTGGCAATAGCAACTAACATTATGGCCACAGCAGTGCCACTCAATATATTAAACGTTGGAAATAAGATGCTAATAACAAGCATCATGGTTACACATTTGTACATTTAGGGCAGTTGTAAAAACTGTCAGGAGGGATCAAAGTTGCATGTCATCAACAGCTTCTGTAAGCAGACGCACCTGCGTCTCCCAGGCATCTCTGAAAGCATCCATGTTCTCCTGCGCAACTTTAGATCGCGGTCTTGCAGCAAGGATACGAGCTGCATTCACTACTTGTGGACAGAGGCCCTCAATGTGGGCCGCCGCACATCGCACCATCTTCACACCATCCTCGTGGCTTGACATGGAGCAGGCCAGGCTGGCCACTTCAACCAGCTTGTGGGCATGCTCGGCAAACACACGCGCATACTCCTCGACCTGTCGCTCGTCCCCAGCACGTGCTGCCTCTACCAGCACTAGTAGAGGCACCTGTGTCTCAAGAAACGAGTCTGACACGTGGTCCACGACTGCCTTGCGCAGCTGCCGCCGCAAGTCCCGTGTCTTGCGCCCCATCTGCTCCACAGCCTTGTCCAGGGAGTCTTCCTTGCGGCCTGCACTTGCCATGTATTCGGCCAGTAGGTCTTGCAGCGCCTGCCGAACAGCATTGCATTCCGCCACGATGCGCTCTCGCCGTTCATCGCGAGTGCATGATGAATCGGCCATGAGGGCAGCTCCACTGATAATACTCTCCAGCCTCTCTTCTAAAGCTGGCCTGGTGCGCAGTTCGTTGTAGGTGAGTGGATCCAGCACAACACGCTCCTGGTGAAGCAAAATAGAACAAAGGTACCAATGTTAATTAAAATTTCTACCCACCCAGTTAAAGTACAGGCCTTACATCAAAATCATCCAGTGCAGCTGCTAACTCGCCGGGGCCCTCATAGGATGGCACTAAGGCACCAGCACGACCCTGTGCAACATCGCCAATTGTGTTGACTGCTTCACACACTTGCCGAAACACAAAATCTCGGTTCTCCTTGGCAGCTGAAAGCTCAGGATGACGAATGTAGACCTGTGGGCAGTAAGTATGCTGTGTGAGGCGACAAACCTGAAGGTGGTTGTGTTTTGTACCTTCGAGGCTGTGAGGAGCATCATGCTATTTTTCTTCAGCACTGCCCTGGCAGCAGCAAGGTCATCTCGCAACCTTGAGTCCTTCAGCTCCTACAACAACAAAAGAAGGATGGTGTTGTGCCCTTCCAGCACACACTGCTGTCCGCTAGTTCTCACCGCCTGCCTACGTGCAGCCTGCTGTATCAGGTCAACAGTGTTGACACCGAAGTTTCGGAAGAACTCCATCAACTCGGACTGGCTGGACGCATTCTTGACTTTGTCCAAGTCATCCTCAACCTGAGATAATATGTAGTCTTCACAAATGGACCACACAACAAGGCCCATATTGAGTGCTCACCACACGCAAAGATTTTAGCAGCCGGTGTACATCCACCATGTCGGCAAGAATCAGTAGTCGAGTGACAGCAGACAGGAGGTTCCGTGCTGAGCGCACCATGTTACCCCTCTTGACTGACGAGCAAGGGTCCTCCGCAAACTCGCGCGAGGCTTTGCTCATGGCCTCTCCTGCAAGACATGTTACTGAACATGCCACTTTTCTGATGTGTACAGGGGTGCGTTTCATAAAAGTGAACACACAAGCATGGACCCATGCCCAGCAGCAACTGCTAATGATAACTATCAACCCAGAAAAAAGAATGGATCTTTCACATGAAAAGCAGCAAGCACTCTAACTCTCCTTCTGAGACAGCTGTTATCAATGCGTTTGCTTTTCCTGGTCACTTGTAGTTAGCACCAGCACAGGCGACAATACAGTGTGGGTTTGCACACTTGTATGCTCCCTTTCATTAAAAGCCACCCCCCACACCAACTCATTACTTACCTGTCTTCCGCACTTCATCTACAGCTGCCATCATTTCCTGATGTATGTCGGGGTTCTCTGTTGCAATCTCTTCTCCCTTTTTGATGAAGTTCTCTGTGGCCCGCTCTACAGCAGCAACCAAGACATGAGCCCGCTTTGAACGGCCTTTCTTCTTTTTAGATGGTCCCTTTGTGTTTACCAGTGTTGTCACCTAGCCAAGCAACAAAAATTATTGATTTCACCACAACAGTCTCCAGCTACTAGATATTTGGAGGCATTCTCCTTGCCTGTATGACCAGGGGTTCCAGAGTTTTCTCCACGGACAGTGTTTTGATCTCGAGGTTCTTGGGATCCCACTTGAGGGCGACTGGCGGTGGCTCCATAGTGGACATATCTCAGGCCACTCGTTGTCCCTACAGGTCACAGCAACGGGAAACTGCCACTTTTTAAGACCATTTCCAAACAGCACACAAATACTTGCACTTTGCCCCTTTTAGTGCTTATATGTAGTCATCGCATGCGTTCTCTCCATTATGCTTTTGCCAATACTGTATTGCATGTGTTGTGGGGTGTTCAGCCCTAACTGTGTGACTATGTCGGGTTTTTTTTAACAGTGAGCAAGCCGTACCCAATGTAGAAGAAATCAGCACGTCAAACGATGGCATAATTGATGCTGTGTTTGTACTTCATGTGTCATTGCTTAGATCTTGACTTGTCAATAAAGATTAGTTTGGTGCATGTCAATTCTGCATGGTTGAAAATAAGTTCATCGTTGGCCTCTCCTGGTTTACTTGTTTGTTGTAATGTTGAAAAAGTGACCAGCAGCTTGAGTGGGTGCAGTTTGGTAGTTCACAGTGCGAGTCATGAATAGTCTTTTTTTTTTTTTTGAAGCCACAAAATTCCCTTTTATTTCAAGCAATAAAGATTCATTAGTGGGCTCAAGCAGTCTATAAAATTCTATGCTGAACACTTACTTCAGTGTTCAATGTAAGCTACCACAGAAATTCTATCGCAGAAATACAGTTTGAATATTCCACACAATAAATCTTCCAAAAGGACACAAAGCTATTCATGCATGGTATATCAAGCTAATAAGTAATTCACACCGAAAGAGCATTTTGCACAAATACAGTAGACGTACAAAGGATATCGCAGCAACATCCCTAGTTCGATCACTGTTGAACATGTCAAGCAGGTAAAGCATTCATCACACAAGAAAAGGGCTTTTTTTTTACTACACCAGCTTGTTAAATAAACAAGTTTTGTTGTGACATTTTGCTAGCAACTGTAATGCGAGAAAAAGCAAATTATGCACACCTCATGCCACTGATCAGAACCAGCGATTATGGGCACAGTCAGGGTTATTCACATAGGACAGCTTGGGTTATTCACAACTACTAATGCATAGAATTTAGTAATGGAATACATGAATTCATCACAAGTGCAGCAGCCAAATATGTTGGTCCCAAGTTCATCCTAATTTTGAATGTCACTGTGAAACCTATATTTACCTTTTAGAGGCTAGCTTCGTTTATATAGTGAGGGTGGCCATGTCAGTACTCGGGCATATTATAGACAGGAATTTTTTAGAATAACAAATTACTGGTAGTCAGTGTCAGCTCACCAATATAATCTCATTTCAGAAGTTTACACACTCTATATAATCTTCAAGTTATTTCACAGGCTGGAACTTGTGACAAAATAGGTTGTCCTTCATAGTGAAGCCATGCTAAATATACTATCAGCTTAAAAAAGCCTAAGCAGTGAGATACCAGTGAAATTGGCAAGTTTATCCTCAACATGGGCACAAAGCCTGGAATAGAAGTTCAAAACAAGGAGAAGTGTGCGCTACTGATATAGTATTGCATCTGATGAGATGCTGCATGCCTTAAGAAACTGCCTTGTGACATTCATGCCTTGTCAACATTTTACACTATCTGTACTAGTTGTTTGCAGTGGCTCGAAAACTATGGCACTAAAATTCACTATGATAATTGAGAATACATGGGCTATTGAGCACGTGATGATTTTCATAGATATAATGAAACTTTGGAGGACCATATCAAAATGATTTACAGGCTACTTATCCTGCAGTATTTTTTTCAAAGGTTGCTCCAAGCAAACTGACAGATCATCGCTATAACACAAAGCATACTGTGCCAATGCTGCCGAGAAAAACGCTTTCACAAATGGGAGAGCTGATGTAAATATGAAGCTTGTACCACCACTCTATAAACGTAACAAGTGATGTGAATCAGTCCAATAGTAATCTGTCAAGAGCAGTCATCAATTGAAACCAGAAATCAGGTTAATTTACTCTGTAGAGCTAGACATCGAGTCACCTGCTATCGTGAGTTTTTCAGAAGCAATCTATCACTCCACCAAATTTCATGTTTGCTTATAGAATGTCGCAATCCTGCACACTTTCATGAGGCTAATGAGGCCTAATTTGCATAAAAGAAAAGTAATAGCTCTAGGGGCCTATTTTTCAGACACCTTACGAAGCCAAGGAAAACAAAGGGGCCATTATTTCTAAAGTGCTCAATAGCAGTGGATTTGTCCACATTGACTCACTAGCTTTTTATTTAACAAATTACAATACACAAGTAGTTACCGTTATACTTCGTTACCCTTACCAAAATTGATGTAACCCGTCATTGAAACAGCACAAGCTTCCCAATTTTCTGTTCCAATTACTTTTTTTATTTGTTTATAATCTCAGCTGACAAGTACTCACACTTTGCCTGGTGTAAATGAGAACATTCAATGTTGAAAGCAATATAAGTGAAAATGAATAGGTGAAGCAATTTTTCCAGAAATGCAGCAGTACATGGATGTAACAGCTGCCCGTTACTGTATAGCAGTCTCCTAGATTCAATAATCACACCGAAATATTCTTTGTTGCTTCTGTTCACAGCCCAAGCATTGAGCTGCCAACTAACTCATGCTGCATATTAAGAGGGTTGAATATGTACAGTCGTCAGCAAGCTTAACACAAACGCTCCAACACGTGACCTGGACTACTAGGACTGACGCCAGCCGTGAAGCGCTGGGCGCTGTTGCTGAGATAATGTCGAGATACCATGCCAAGATACCATGTCGGCATGCAAGAGTAAAATCTCAGATGCAGAGCCCAAAGCTATGCTGCACTACCGTGAATCAAACTTTTTGAAGACATGCTGCGGAGCATTCGTGTTAAGCTTGCTGACTACTGTATTTCCCCGCACAGTATTGTGGTTTTGTGGATCGAAACAGGCCGCCATTGGAACATGAACTTAACAACGTTTAACGCTAGAACCTTATCTAGTGAGGCAAGTCTAGCTGTACTATTCGAGAAGCTAGAGGGCATTAAATGGGATGTAATAAGGCTCAGTGAGGTTAGGAGGACAAATGAGGCCTATACAGTGCTACAGAATGGGCATGTCCTTTGCTATCCGGGCTTGACTGACAGAAGAGAGCTGGGAGTGGGGGTTCCTTATCCACGGAAACATAGCTGGCAGCATAGAGGAATACTATAGCATTAATGAAAGGGTGGTAGGTATCGTAGTTAAACTGAATAAGAGATACAAGATGAAGGTGGTACAGGCTTATGTGCCTACGTCCAGCAATGATGACGCGTCAGTTGAAAACTTCTATGAATATGTGGAATCTGCAATGAGTAAGGTAAAAACACAGTATATTATACTGATGGGCGACTTTAACGCAAAGGTAGGGAAGAAGCAGGCTGGAGACCAGGCAGTGGGAGATTATGGCATCGGTACTAGAAACGCCAGAGGAGAGCTACTAGTAGAATTCGCAGAACGCAATAATTTACGGATTTTGAATACCTTCTACCGAAAACGAGGAAACCGCAAGTGGACATGGAGGAGTCCTAATGGCGAAAATAAGAACGAAATAGACTTTATACAGAGTGCACACCCAGGCATTGTGCAGGATGTAGAAGTGCTTGGCATGGTACGATGCAGTGACCATAGAATGGTACGGTCCAGAATTCGCCTAGACTGTTATGCATGAAGCCAATCAATGAGCTAGCACTGAGAGGGAAAGTACAGGAATGCAGAGTCTCACTTCAGAATAGGTACTCTGCTCTTATCGAGGGAAACAGCCTTAGTGTTGACGCAATGAATGATAATCTGACGAGTATCATTACGAAGTGTGCAGTGGAAGTTGGAGGTACTGTAGTTAGACAGGACACTGGCAAGCTGTCCCAGGAAACTAAGAATCTCATTAAGAAGTGTCAAAGCATGAAAGCCTCAAGTACAACAGACAAAATAGAGTTGGTAGGGCTTTCGAAGTTGATAAGTGTAAGGTATGCGACGCAAAAAGGTATAACATGGAGAGAATTGAACACGCTCTGAAGAACAAAGGAAGCGTCAAAGCAGTGAAGAGAAAACATGGGATAGGCAAAAACCAGTGGTGCAATTATGTACAAACTCCAAATCCGGACGGAGGCGGTCTGTTCCATTGAGTCTCACGCGATTGGCCTATTTGAACCGTGACGAATGCTGTGACGTTCCATGTGACGTGGGCCAAGGTGTCCCGTGACTGTTTTTCTGCGGTTTTTGGACGAAGGCGAAGGAACGGTCGGAGAGACCGTCCGAAAGGAACCGGATGGATTGAAATGGCTGCAAGATGGCATGGATTGGATTGAAATGTCAGGGCTTCATGACGTTTCAGCATTCGGACACTTAGACAACATGGCATTTCCACTGCCACAGTTAATCGTCTCGCCTGTGCGGCAGCTGCAGCGGCGGCGTCACGGCCAGCCTCGTGCACCTGCCTGCGCCACCAGGCCTGCCATTCCTCTGCGTTTTTCTGCGCAGGCCCTTCTTAGTTCAGCGCGTTGCCGAGCTCTTGCCACAGCCGCCACCAGTCGGCGACGGTGACGCCGTGCCGCAGCTCGATGGCTTTAGCCGCGAGCTGGGGATGTTTGTCCATAAACGCGAGCACCAGTGCACGCTGAACCTCGGAAACGCGGATGAGCTGCTGCTGCTGTTGGCTACTGGTGCCGTTGCCCTCCGCCATGATTGCGCTCGACTGAGCCAACGGCTTCAAAAGTTGTGCCACAAAACACCTGCGCCATTTAGGTTTGAATAGTGGTGGAGATATGAGAACAGTAACTGCTTGAAACGGGGTTGTATTTAGCGCCACTACTTACCGTCCCACTAAATTTAGCGTCATTTCAAAACAATAACGAAAAAATACGTTTGGATTGTGCCGTGTTTCTTATTCAACGTTTGAAAACTAGTGCCAACACATTTTAATAGTGAACAATAATAGTTACACACTTCTCAACATGTTACAAACACTTTTCACTGTGCTATACGGTCCCCAAACTAACGTCAAAATGATGACGCAAGCCTCCATTTCTCTCATTGGCTGTTCGCTTCCCCTCGTCCTCACAACTGCTGCG